CATCAATCCTCGGTATTTTAATTTGCATGGACCTTGAGGCCAAGACCCGAATGTTGTAGGAGTCAGGAATATTGGACGTAGGATTTCGTCAAGTAATCTTATGGGAAGAATGTGTCAAATATTGATTTGATCAAATATGGATGGCTTTCAGATTAGCTCTTTTCTTGTTTACGTATGGCCTGTTCTTTAGTTCTTTTTTTTTCCTTCATGAAGTCAGGTATATCAGATGCTCTTTTTTTGTAAATTTACCAAAAGGTCTGAATTTTAAGCTCATGGGTTTGATGGAAGCTTAGCAGAACTGGAGAAAATATTTGAGATAGCAGTAAAAGGATCAGATGAAGAGAAGATATCTGCTGCAACCATTCTTTGTGGGGCCTCCTTGATCCGAGGTTGGAATATACAGGTGATGTAGAAAGTGATTACTACATAAATTAAAAGTTTCTTTCTTGGTTTCCTCACATATTTTTCTAAAGGTCACTTTTTTTCATCCCCCCTATTTTGACCAGACAACTTTGTTGATGGGTATTATGATTTACTTCCATGCAGGAACATACCGTACATTTTATTACTAGATTACTTTCTCCTCCAGTTCCCACAGATTACTCTGGATGTGAAAGTCATTTGATAGGCTATGCTCCAATGCTGAATGTGCTCATTGTTGGAATAGCATCTGTTGATTGTGTTCAGATTTTTTCTCTACATGGTTTGGTATGTTCTTCATTGCTAGCCCGATATTAATATTAAGACACTATTCTGTTACTGATTTAATTAAAAGTAGAACCATTTTCTTTGAGGTACTTATATCTGGGAAAAAAGAGGTTTTTCTTTCTTCAACTATTTTCCATTATCAAATTATCATTTTTCTTAATGAGAAATGATTTTATTAATATAAACAAGTAGACAAGTAAACCAAAGAGACTACGTTTTACATAAAGGCCCTTCGACTAGCCTATATAGAAGAAAGAAAGTTGCTAGAAAAGAGATCTGTTCTTAGACACGAAGAAGAAGAAACAAACAAAATGACATCCCAAATCTGATTGTAGGTCTTCTCATCATCAATGAAAGTTCTTTTATCACGTGCAAACCATACTACCCAGAACATTGACCTGGAACTATTTCCTGGAGTTGAAAGTGTGACCACATAACAGTTGCACCACATAATCCTTAGGAATTTTATGGATAGGAAAATTGAGACTGAAGATGTCCATAAGTTGGTTGCTAGTATAAACTACCATCAGGCTGAATAAGAAAATGTGACATCTTTTGAGTTCTTGCAAAGAGAACACCGCTTTGGATTAATGAAAGAACTCTGGATTTCTCTTCTGAATATTTTCATGAATATCTAAGTTTTCACTCATAACTTAGAAGTAAAGACAGTAGGTAAAAAATGACCTAGCTCCTTCAGGCTATTTCTATATGAGGAACACCAATTTGGAGATACACATGGGATAATTCTTTTTCCGAACTTTATCTGCTGTATTTAAGCTTTCAAGTGCCTGTGGCCAGACAGAAAATTTATTCTTCTTAAGGAGCTTTCTATTCCAGATGGCCACAATAACCTCCTCCATTGAAGTTAAAACCTCGGTCAACTTCTGGTATAGAGACATGCAAGAAAA